TTCTAAATACTATAAATACACTTAAAATAGAACATATCCAATGCTACGACTTTGAAAACATCTATACTACTTTACCACTTGAAGAAATTCATAAAAGTTTACTTGCTCTTCCTGAATTATTTCCACAAATTTCTACAATAATAAATACTAAAAAATGGCAACTTTTTTTCCTCATGCGTACTTTTCAATGATTTTTATTCAATTTAACAACATCTTTAAACAAATACAGAGAATTCCAATGGGAGGTAATTTTTCAAGTTTCTGTCTGTGAATTATTCCTTTTTACAAAAGAATTAACTTTTTATACGTTCACTCAGTAAGGAAGATCATAAATTTTACCAACACATCTTCCGATATATTGATGATGTCATAGCCTTGAACAGCTTCAACAAGATAGAAAATGCTAATATATCTACCCTTCGTCCCTAAAACTTAATACTACACAATACCGTGCAACATAATATAGTTCTACCTTGATTTGCATCTCATAGATTACAATTTTTTAAAAATCTATGACAAAGAGAAGGAATTCAACCTTTTCAACACTTGAAATGAGAAAATGGGACAATAAGCATATCTGACCTAGAAATTGTTTACATTTTTAAAAGAGAGGCAGCAGCAGCGAGTCTAGCTAGCAACAAAAGCCGAGAACAAATGCAGCTTTTCTAAGATGAAATCCTCGCTCAGAATGAGCCAACTGAAATTCCAATATTTCTAAAAGAGTCATCCTCAACACAATTTACTCAAAGCTGCTTAGAATTAAAAGAATCTGCAATACAGCAAAACACCTTCAAGAAGAAGTACTATACTATACTTCGTGACAATTTTGAAAAATAACCCCATTCCTCAAAAAGTAATTCAAAATACTTTAATAAAAGCTGGCATTAGCCTTACCAATTTTTAGATATTTTGAATTAGATAATGAAATTTTATACTTAAAGCCCAATGGGACGGTATAAAGTGGATGGCTGATTCTGATCTAATGTATAAAATCAGATAAGATAAAATGTACAGATATTCTTGTCACTACTTTTTTCCTCTTAAAATTTGGCACAATACTTTTAATACTATTTTTTAAATAGTTTTAAAATTACTTTGATGGCCAATTCTATTCTGTTATTAACCAACGGGCGATTTTCGTTTCTGGCAGCTTGAAAGCCGTCTAGCTTGAAGAATTACGACTTTAATTAACAAATTACTATTTTTTTTTTTTTTTTCTTTTTTTTTTTTTTTTTTTTTTTTTTTTTTTATCTTACTTTAAGGCCTTGAATTTTGGCCATTTTCACTTTTACACATTTCCTTTCTCCAAAACTACTATGACAAAACGCCATTTGAACTTTTAACGCCTTTCACATTTTTAACGCCTTTCAACGGACAGTCACTTGACATTCGCTATTGCCCAGTGACATTGTTTTCCCCCCTTTCTACGTCATCCGACAAGTTGGAGGGCAATGGAAGCGCTAGGGGGTTAGCCAGTCCGTTTCGAGTTTCTTCGTCACCGAAGAAGACAGCATTGTTCCATGTCTGATTTTTATACTAATTTTTTCTCTAAAAGTTTTTCTAGGTCTTGGCAAGACCCATGCTGCTTGTCGTCTTGTTTATTATTTATTCCTTTTTGATTTATCTTCTAATTTCCTTAATTTTTCAGCACAATGCGTAAAATTTTGACCAAAAGTGGTCTTTTTTCGTTTGTTCTTACAACCTTACTTCTAATAATAATAATAATAATAATAATAATAATAATAATAATAATAATAATAATATATATTAGATTGCAGATTACGCTCATATATCGTACACAGTCTTAAGGGGAAAAAAGGAATTTTTATTTTTCTGCTTTTAAATGAAATGCTTCATTCTGATACATTAAAGCAGCAAAAATTCAGAAAAGGCTTTAAAATTATATGTATAAGAGCGATGTTTTTTACTGGTATTTTTTTTGTCGGCTATTATGCCAGATAATTTCGGTATCCTGTTGCCGAATATTTGAAGTTTAGGTAAGATATGCTAATGAAAGGTATTTAAAATTAACGTCAAAAGACAGTACATCTTTTTTTTTTTTTCATTTTAAAATAGACGATTTCTCTAATTCTTGTTGTTTACAATCACAATATATTGAAAATTATACGGATTTACGTCCAACTGTAGTTTTATAACATGCATAAATGCCATTTTTATCTTGCAACATTTACTTAAATCGAAGATTGTGGCTATGGTAGAGTTATAAAATAGCAGTTACAGCAAAGTACGCAAATTTGAATCCAGAATTAGTTTTAATCTTGTAAAAAAACTGTAACTGAAGTTTTAGAGTACAATTATGTTAAATAATGAGAAAAATAGTATTTCCCCGTCTTACTCGCTAGCAGTATCTTGAATTCATGACATACTTCAGAATTTTTTTTTTTAACTGCTTTTAACTTTTATGAACTTAAGAGACGAATTCCGGAACATATGCTCCAAATTTGCGTTTTCCCTCAGTTCTCGGAAATGTTTGGAGGTGGCGTCATCTATTGATAACAGTGGAAAGCTTCAGTTGACATTTCGTGTGCATTAGTATTTATTAATTTTTATTCTGTTGGGTAAATTTTAATTACGGAAATGATCACATGTTTCTTTACTTCCTTCCTTTTTTTTTGTAGACTTACTCATCTAATGGCCTAAACTAGCTTGCTTTTAACGCACGCAACATCAGTTTTGATATTTACTCATTGAATAAATTAAGCTCTTGCCGAAATAACAATCAATTAAGTTCCAATGCGAGGGCAAACCCCGGTGTCCAGGGATCTCATATAGTTTCAAGGACTTAAAGTGGTATTAATAACAATAATACATAAATAAATTTAGGATACCTTTCGAGTGCTTTGCCGTAAACAAATGAAGTATTTTAATTTAGAAGTAACATAATCTGTACGAACTGCTCCCACAGGAATTTTGTAATCTCCATTATGCCCATTTTTTTTTATATTATAATGCTATTTATTATTAAGGGCCATTTTTGACTTTTTTCAACGTTTTTGAAAAAAAAAAAAAAAAAAAAAAAAAAACTGCTTTAGATTGTGTTGATTTGAAGTGAAAATGGAGTTTTAGGACAAAAATACCATGCAGGGTAATAAATTAATAATTATAGTAATTCCTGGCCATCGAATTATTGAACAAAGCGGCAAAAGGTGCAAAACTATTGATATTTGAAATCACTGTGATTTTAAATGTTTAATTCAATGTTAATCTCATTGAAAAATAAAATTTGCAATATGGGGGAGTGAGAGCTATTGTTAAAAATAAAACTGTGAAGCTAAGAATAATATAATCAAAAACAATTATTGTTAAGGAGGAAAGAAAGAAAAAGGCCCTGACTATAATAAAAAATCTGATGTGGATACCACATGACTCCTTATACTGCTTATTAAATTAAATTTATTTTTGGCTGGATTTAACCCTAGAACACTAGGGTACGTAAATTTTACGTGCTGTTATCCTTTATTGGTTCCTTTCCTTTCTGCTCTTTCCCTTTCACCTATACACTTGTTTGACCTTGAGTGCTTCGAGGCGTTATGTAGTTGGCTGCATGCCACGTGGTTTGATTTTTTCGTCTGCGGTTTCATTTGTCTCGTTACATGAGCTAGAGCTCAGACGTGAATTTTACGTGTTGTACGTATTACTATATGCGAAATTTTGAACACGTAAATTTTTCGTGTCACTAGTAATACACGACTTTTTAAATATGTAATTTTAACGTAGTCCTAGTGATAGTGCCTGTTATTTTTAAATTTGTGAGCGGCATATATAAATGTGTTTCAAATTCTTATTTCATACTGTGTTGAAAAAATGGCGAAACGCCGCAAATTATTTAACGAATGAAGAAATTCAAGCAATGCTTTTGGAATCTGATGAAAGTGGTGATAATGTTGAATTGATGACAGTGATGATGATCCGGATTATATTCCTGATGATAGAATAGAGATTGATCCTGATTTAGTGATTGATTCCCCGATACAAGATATTGAGTGCAGTAGTGATATGGACAAAAGTAAGAAAAAGAAAGTTGAATTAAATGTTCAAAAGAAAACTATAAAGACTAAAAATATTGAAGATACAAATGAACAAGGACATATTATATTTCTGGATGCTGACTTAGTAAAATGAGTAAAAATGGAATAAATGAGTGGTGTACGAAAATTAATGACACCACTAAACAGAAAACCAGCGCAAAAAATATAGTTCATATTAGAGACCAGGTCCAGTTGCTGAGGCTCGATTTGCTAAGGAACCAATTGATTGTTTTAATTTGTTTATTTCCGATGTAGTAAAGGAAGAAATACTTACTCACACAAACGCAGAGATAAACAGAAAGAAGATAGGTTATGCCAATGCTACGGATGGATATTTCCCCAAAATAATTTAAATTATGATGAACTGAATGCCTTGTTTGGAATATTAATACTTTCTGCAGCTTTAAAAGATAACCATTTGTCAACAAAAGTTATGTTTGATGTAACTTTTTCTGGTGGAAGGTATAGAGCAACATTTTCTGAGAGACGCTTTTCATTTCTTTTGGATTGCTTAAGATTTGATGAAAAAGACACAAGGGAAGGAGCGTAAAAAAAAACTGATAAATTAGCTGCTATTCGCCGCCAAATATGGGAAATTCTTATTGAAAATTGTAAAAAAAATATTACAAACCCAGTTCATACACGACTATAGACGAGCAGTTGATTGGATTTCGGGGAAGGTGTCCTTTTCGCATGTACATTCCGTCAAAACCCAACAAGTACGGGATAAAAGTGATAATGATATGCGACAACAGCACTAAATACATGATGAATGCGGGTCCCATATTTAGGAAGCGGAAGTGTACCTAGAGGAATGGTTGCAGCAGACTATTTTGTAAACAAACTGACCGACCGAAACTATCAAGAACAGTAACAGAAACGTAACAATGGACAATTGGTTCTCGAACGTGCCTCTTGCTGAAAAGATGCTAAAAAAGAGACAAACTAACAATGGTTGGCACGATAAAGAAAAATAAAAGGGAGTTTCCTCCGGAATTTACTGATGTAAAGTATCAAGAGCGAAAGAATGGTTCTAGTTTGTTTTTATTTCACGATGAAGTCATTGCAGTATCTTACAAAGCAAAGAAAAAACTTGTGACTTTAATATCAATGATGCATTCTAACTCAGAAGTTAACCAGTCAACCGGAAAACCAGAAATAGTTATGACATACAATTCTACAAAAGGTGGAGTTGACTGTTTTGATCAATTGTGTAATCATATGAACTGTGGCAGAAAAACCAAAAAAGATGGCCAATGGCTTTTTTCTATAATATTATAAATATAGCAGGAATAAATGCATACATAATTTATCTGCATAATTTTTACAGAGATCGAACTGGAAATGGAATGCCATTATCAAGATTGAACTTCATGTTGAAACTTCATCAACAATTATGTGAAAAATGACAACTTCAAGTCTAAATGTTCCAAATCTGTCAAGAGAATTGAAAGATATAATCACAAAAGCGTTAGGACAGGAACCACAGATTTTAGAACTTCCCCAAAATCAGCAAGGTCTTCGAACCTATTGCAGCTTTTGTGACTATAAAAAAAAAAAAAAAAAAAGAGAATGACAACCACCTACTGCAAATGTGGAAAAGCTATATGTGGAGAGCACCAGATGAAGTCATGTCCTTCTTGTGTGTAGACATAATTGTATTGGTAACTAATTATTATGTAAATTTATTTTTTAATTGTGTCAATTATATTAAATTTAAAAGGCGAACAACTTTTATTATAGTTTTTTTGTTGTTGTTTTCGTGGTTTTTAAGTCTATTATTAATTGATATTTTAATATGTGTTATTTAAAATAAAATGTGCTAAACTATATTTTATTTATATTTTATCTATCAGTATACATTTTTATAGTTTTCAATTATATTTTTAAATACAATTAATTATCAAGTTAAAATTTAGTAATATTGGGTAAAACAGCAAATAAAAACATATTTAGAAACATCATTAATGTAATATAAGTAAAAAAATGAATTTTAAACGAGCACGTACGTATCGCTAGTGATAGCGGCATATATAAACACGCTAGTGTTCTAGGGTTAAGCCAAAACATTGAAACGGAACACTCTGTATTTGTGAAAGCAATAAATTTCCAGGCGCACGTTCAAGAGAGATTTTTGCCTCTATTTGTTTACATAAAGAGTCATCTGGAGTGTGATTAATGGCTGTTTGGGTGACGCTATGCATGAGGGTGAACTTTGCACCAAAGCATCTTCTTCAAGGTCGCTGTGGTCAGCGGAATCTGATTTTAATAAGGATACATCAGTTAGATTCCTAAGAATATTATTAGCACAATTTTCAATATCGGTGGAAAATTTTAAATGCAGTACGTTACATATGGCAATTAAATCTGTGAGAGAAAATTCTTTTATAATTTTTTGTTTCGTTTCTTCAAAGTTAAATGGTTTGGGAAAACCAGAAAAATTGAATAACCTAGCACGATTCTGCCGATCACCATCTGAGCCAAAAACTAAATGATGTAAAAGCTTGATATGCTTTGTACTGGGAGTGTTTAATGACTGTACAATGTTGGGATAGTCGTTAAGTGTAGCCATTATTTATCAGTTTTGTTCTTACCAAATATGAAATTCATAAAATATGTATGTTTCGATTTCATCAAATGTTATTCATCTGGTTTCAGAAATTAGTATACCAAAATATACTCTTAATTTTTCATATTCTTCACAATAATATTAATTCTTCTTAGTATATTACACAATAACTATGATGTTAAAACACTCAAAAATCATAAATGAAGTTGTGAACATATGATTCAAACAAATGGTAAAATATATCATCAAACAAATCTTCATATAAGACTATGTTAAGAATGGAAAATAGAATTTCACGTTAAGATATGATATAAAAATTATAAACTTAAAATAGTATTCTACAGTCCTTGTAAAATATAGGCATCACAAGAAATAAGAAATTTATGCACCAAATTCGAAAACGAAAGTAATTCTTCAAAGTAACTTTAATATATCACAATTCTGTAAATAGTCAGTAATGTATTTCCATCAAAATCAAATACCTTTAGTTTATTCAATTAAACTTCATCAAAACTGTTTAATTAATTATCATCAGCATCAAATTCGAAAACGGAAGTGTTAATTCTTCAAAGTAAAAATCATTCAAAAATAAATGAATTTTCATCAAAATTAAATGCCTTTCGCTTCTTCAAATAAATTTCATAAAAAGGCGTCTTCAAATATTCATAATTTGAAAGAATATTACTTCCTGATTAGCATTACTTCATCAAATAAAATTAGCTGTACTTAACGTGCTGACGAATCACAACAACGGGAATCTTGTGATATTATTCCATTTCCAAAGTATTCCATCATGTATAATTATACTTGTTATCTGATATGGTAGTCTAGGGGGTTTAAAAAGTTGAAGAGAAGAACAGATTTTAGTTCAAGGAGTCGAGAGAGTTCGTGGGGCCGAGCCCCCATGTAGGATGAGGTTAGGATTAAAATAGAGGAAGGCAGTAGCATTTTAAGGGTATTTAATGATGAAAGAATAAACATGATTATGGTATTTACAGTGTGAAAGGAAGTAAGATAAAAAGTTCATCATGAAACAGAATCACATCATCAATCAATGTTTTCGAGCGGCATAGTTCAGCTCCATCCAACGCCATGTTATATCATCATCGGAATGCAAGTCTGTCCATTTCCTCACGCAGCTTGAAGAAGTATCTCACTGCTGTCGCTGTTGCCAGATTTAGGACGGAGGAAGGTTGAGTTGTAGGAGCGCATTACCACATATATTATCAAATATACATTTTAAGAGAGTAGTGAAACATCTTTTCCATGCCAAAGATATTAAAATATTCAGTATTGGGCTTCAATAAATACAGGAGGCTATCTGTTATTGACTTACAAACATTGGTAATTCCCTTTAGTTAATTTATCATTAAAACTACAACTAACATAGCTATAACTGTATTTTTAATACAGTGACTGTTTGAATTACAATATAACTGCAAAAACAATTAGATTTTTGTCTCAGCAGTAATTGAGTAAATAAAACGTCTTTTGAATAGTGGTAGTTCAAATTGGATTCGAATTCCAGCAAACAATCTAAATGTTTGGACATCTCCTTGGGTTTCCTTGTGTGTAACATGAATGCAGACAAGTTTCCTCTTGAAAATTCTCCACGGATGCATCATTCTTCTTAAATGCTTCTTCATTATTCTGCTTAAATTTGCCTCATTCAATTAAATAAAGACATTTTTCTGCTTTTCCTCATTAGTGAGGCGAATAGGAAACAGTTTTCTTTAGAATGTCCTCCACAGAAGCATCTGGAGGTTGCTTTACAATAATTCAAATAATATAACATTAACAGATGCAAAAGAAAAGTATACTTTTATTTGTTTTTAACTGGAACTGCGGAAAATAGTTCATGCAAGTACTTTCACTTCCAAGTAAATAATGCATTTAATTATTTTTTGAAAGTATGTGTTATGTTAATAAAAGACTAGTTTTCAATATTTTTTTTTCAATGATGGGTGCTAGCCATTTTAGACATTGGCCATTACTAAAGCCAGAAGCTGTGGCCACGTTTTTATGGAGGCACCTGATAGGCGGGCCAGCACCTCCACCATGCCTTATCCGGGCTTTGAATCTGGGTTTTTCCGTATGGCAGTCAGGGTCACAAATCACTTTCCCTTCTGGCCACCAATTTGTAATAATTTATAAGTTAAATATTATTTAAAGTTAGTTAGAAATTAAGCAGACATTCCACCAAATTATATAAAAAAGGAACCTAGAAGGCAATGTGCTGTGTATCGCTCCAAAAAAGACAATAGGGAAAAATGTGTAAAGAGATTCATATTTGGTGTGAAGAATGTAAAGTTGGATTATGTTGTTAGAGCCATGTTTCAAAGTTGACCACATTAAAAAAATTTTATACGAGGGCCATCCAGGAAGTAGATTACGTTTCCGTCTGTGTCCGCTAGGGGCGGGGCTAGCGCGGCCATCTTGGGGTCAGAGCGTTGCGCAGCTCAGTCTGCATCTAGCCGTGCTAGTGAGAGGTTCGTGCTGTGCTCCGTTCAGATACTGTGACGGTTTGAAATGTCTGCGTTAATTGAAAATCCCGCGAGGTGCGCTCAGTAATAAGGTTTCTGACTGCAAAAAACTGTAAACCGATAGAAATCTATCGGCAGCTTCGTGAAGTGTATGGGGACAACATTATCACTGAAGGTGGAGTGCGTCAGTGGGTCATAAGATTTCAAAATGGCCGAACCAATGTTCACGACGAAGATCGAAGTGGGAGACCCAGCATAGTGACCGCCGAACTTCTCGAAAAAGTCGATGCTAAAGTCCGTGAAAATCGAAATTTCACAATAACGGAACTTTCTTTGAGTTTTCCACAAATTTCGCGAAGTTTGTTGCACGAAATCATCAGCGAAAAGCTTGGTTACCACAAGTTTTGTGCAAGATGGAAGGCAAGAAGAGGTAACGAAGTGGTTGAAGGCGCAGGCGGCCGAATTTTTCGACGAAGGAATTTCCAAGCTCGTACATCGCTACGATAAATGCCTTAATTTGTATGGTGACTATGTAGAAAAGTAGTATTTGAGTGTGGCTTTCATCTGTATATAATAAAATTTGTTTCCTATACTTTGTTTATTTTTTTATTCCAAAACGTAATCTACTTTCTGGATAGCCCTCGTATAATAATTAGTGAGTACAAGTAATATTATTAGCTCTACAAATTAGTTAGTATGTATATTTATCAAAATATTCCTCTGTATTTTTATTCCATGCATGCTAAAATCGCGTGAGTCATATTATATGGTTTTTAAAAATTAAAAAACTATTTCAATTCCTCCATTATATTAATTTAATTTTGTGTAGGGAGATGTGAATAGTAATATATTAAACTAGAGAAAGTTTTTAAAAAGGGGGCGGCCTCCTCATATTCCTGTATCAAAATCGAGCAGTAGTAAGCGAAGGGTTAAATCAGCATTAAACGTTGATTAATTGGGTTGAGAGAGTGAAGTGAATAAAATTTTCTGTAGATAATACATTGCTGTACACATTTTTATTTTATTAATAAAATTATTATAACTTTTTAATTATTTAATTTATTAATAATTATATGTTTATGAATAATTTGTATATTTACCTTATATTCAAGTGCTTATAATCAGTTACATATTGATGTGCATTTGCTTAATTTATGCTTCTATATGTGTTAATATTAAATTTTTCGTTTATATTCTCATGCTATATGTATGAAATAATTTCCTTGTGCAGAAAGAAGAAGCTGAGTGGTTTGGTTTAACTCTTCGTCAGGCAATCCAGAAACAAAGGTTAATTGAAGAAGATATTAAGCCTATTCCTTTAAAGCATGAGCTTCGTCTGAAATTTATTGAACAACTTAAAAGTATGAAAATTTTTCTGTTCTTTCACTTTTTTTGAAAGATATTATTATAAGAAATTATACTGTGAGGTGCTAAAAAAAATTGGTTAGTGTGCGTGTACAAATGCTGATTCATTTCTTCTGCTTCACTGTTGCGATTGCTGTACACCGTGTCACCCAACCGGTATAGTGGTTAGTGACACTGACACCCATACCATTTCTTCTTCAAATTCGAATACCAAAAGAGGCATGGATGCTTATAAGTGTCTGTGTAGTAACAGAGCATTCAAAATATGTGGCAAACCAAAAGTCCTCTTGAGTGATTGGTGATAGGGGAAGAGAAGTGAGAGACTCTGAGACCTCTCTCTCTGATATTCTCCATCAAAATTAGGGTGTACTTAACAGCAATGCCTGGCAGTACCTATTATACCTATGGTAATGCACAGCTGCCAGCCTTGCTTTAACCTGTATCTATAAATGCCAGTACAAAAGCCATTAACACATATGAAGAAGCTAAGTATAGTTTTCAACAAAGAATTGCAATAGTGGAGGTTCATGCCAGGTAAATAGGCCCATTTTTTTTGCATGCTGCGGTATGCTTGTTTATTAGCTGGATGCAGATGATGCACTCAGGTTGATGAGAGGTCAAAAGTAATCGTAAGAGCTTAGTAACTTCAAATTAAACATAAATAATGTGAAAAATAATAAGTGCACCTTAGTAGCCTGAACTAATTTGTGTGAAGTCTATGCTTTGTCATTAAAGAATGAAACAAAATAAATAAAAATAACGGTTTGTGTTTGATTATAGAAGTTGTTCAAAATGTGTTTGAGTAAAAATTAAAATACCTGTTTATTTCACAACAGTATCTGCTAAAAAATTAATAAGAAAATTTTTTTCCATATAACAAATTGTTTATATGTATTCAGATTCTTGGAAATCTGCACAATGTTGTTAGAAGCAAGTACATTTGAAAATATCAGAATCAGTTATAAGCTCAGTTTCATAAATGTGATATCAATTGTTGGCCACATATATTGCATCCTAGTTTCTTACTTATTTTAACAAGAGTGTCATACTTAGTGTGTTTCATCACATTTCTTGTTTCTAAGCATTTAAAATAATTTTCATGTAGCTAATGTACTAGTATTAAATATCCACATTTAATACTGTGTGATTCAGTAAGGTTTTTTCTAAAAAGTGTTTCTAGAACTAAAACAGAATATAAATAGCAGAGCAAAACATAAGAAGTTTTATTTGGAATTAATAACTTAAAGTAGATGTACATCTTTACAACAACAACAACATCATGAAACATGATCTCCTAATAACAACACTCACTGACGCCAGAATTTATTAAGTAAATTCTATATTATTATTCACTTTTTTTTAACATGGTGTAGCTGTTCTTGTCAATTAAAAGAACAATAATAATAATAATAAACTAGAAGAGAAAGTCTAAGTGTCCCATCTTATCATGCTGTAGGGTTCCACCCTTTTATCTAACAACTAAACATGGAGGAACCTAGTGAACAGCTAAGCAAATAATCGCTGTAGTTCAGGAATTGAGACGAAAACTCGAGAAGGGTTAACACCCTTTATTGCTCAAAATAAGAGTTTAACAGATGGCCCCTTTCTCAGGGCATACAGCAAAGCCTCCACTTGGGCTTGAACTCAAAATAATAAAAAATAAGATTTAACTAATGCTTAATAAAGAGATATAGCCGAAGCTATCAAAATTCCAAGTAGTTGGCCCCTAAATATTGAATAAGCTAGCATAGCTATCAAGGGCCTGTAATACAGCTGAGCATAGTAACAGCTTAGAGAATCGTAGCCAAAAGGCAAACACGTGCTAGTCAGAAACTCTGATTCTCTCTCTTGAAGTCAGTTGAACTTTGACATGAGCACTACTGTTACTGATTTGCGTTAAATGCGATTCTAAAAACACATTCTGGTAGAAAATTGTAAGTTGAAATTAGGATGGACAGGAAAAGTAGCTTTAACTAAAAGTAACTGTTAAAAACTTAGGATAAACCTTACAATGCAGAATTAAGTCTCAGTTTAAATAGAGGTTTACTCATGTCAGAAACTTGCTTCTCTGTAGGTATCTGCTGCACAATGATTTGCTTATCTAGAATTTTATCATGCATAAAAAAGTGCTTGATATCAATGTGTTTTTTACAGTGATGAGACTCTGGATGTTGTGACAGTCTCACAGTAGCAATGTTATCTACTTGAATTACTGGAACTTCATATAACTCGGTAACAACACTGAGTAGTCACTTTAACCAGATTTCTTCTCTAGAACATCCACTAGCTGCAATTATCTCTGCATCAGTTGAAGAATTTGAAACAGTTGACTATCTTTGGCTAATCCATGATATAGCTTCACCACTATATAATAGCACTACTCCACTTGTAGATTTCCTAGTTTCTTGGCATCCTTCGAAATCTGTGTCACTATGACACTCCAGTATTGCATTTATTCTTGTAAGTAACAGCTTTAGTAAGAGAACCTGCTATGAGTCTGAATATATGTTTCACTTTGCTCCAGTGTCTTTCGAAGGACTTTCAAGGTGACTTGAAGGAATGCTGATGCAGTTAGCTAAATCTTGTCTCGTGCCTAACATGAGATACATTGCTCCTCCAGCTTCTGTGTAATAGAAAATTTCTCTGTTTGGCTAATCTTCCTTTTTCTTATCAATTAAACTTTCCTTCAGGATAGGAGTTGACACTGGTTTGCAATCTTCTATCCCAGATTTTTGAAAAAATTTTCTTGCATAAGCTTGCTGATTTATTTTGATACTTCCATCTTAACACTTCTGTCTTAATAATTCCATCAAGATGCTTAATTTCAAGTCCAAGAAAGTGTACTACTGGTTTAGTTGTGATTCTAAGTGACTTAATTCTCTGAGAGATTTTCAGATTCCTGTAGATCTATTCATGCCACCAAGCCATCATCTACATATAAGTATAGATTTAGCTTCTTGCCATTTTTGTTCTTATATATCTGCTTTATTTCTCTTAAAGCCAAGTTTTGACACAAAGTCTCCAAAATACTTATTCCAACAGCAGGATGCATGTTTTAATCCATATGTACTGTGTTTCAGCTTGCAGTCTTTGGCAGAACCATGACTATATCTTTCTGATTGCTGCATGTATATGGATTCTTTAAGTATTCCATATAAAATTGTTGAATAAACATCAGACTGAGAAAGACGCATTTCCTCGTTGGCTGCAATATTGATAATTGAATGAACAGTTCATAACACTGTTACTGGACTAGAGCTTGATCATAATGAACTCTGAAATGTTGAGTAAACCTTTTGACAACATTTTAGCCTTGAATTTGGCAACACTCTACGGGGAAGGAGTCTTTTTATCTCCAGCGCGCAGAACTGTGTATCGGAAATTCTAAAGATATGCTCATTTTAAAATTATTTTTCGACATTGCTATTGAACTGAATTTTATGGTTTAAGTGGAAAGAACATGATATTTACACACAGAAAGTTAAAAAAAAAAAAACTTTGGACATAATTTAAAATCTGAAAATTTTCAGATTTTTATATATATTTCTTTTTCTTTTTTTTTTTTTTTTTTTTTTTTTTTTGAATTATATTCTTCACTAACAAATTCTTTTGACTTCACTTTTTTTTAATCTTCTCAGTACTCAGAGCCAGAAATGAATCTATCTTCATCTTGAATAGGCAGCTGCACCCTTTCTTTGCAATTTGTGAGCTCCTCTTTTAATGTAACATCACATGAACAGATCACGCTGTTGGTTTCTTTGATCCGTATGTGGTGTCTTTTGTCTCCATCATACCCAATAAGCCTTTGGAGCTTTTAAACACAGCTAACTATCTTTTCTTCTGCAAAGAAATCAACTGAAATTAATTCATTAGGCTTGCTGGCTTTCTTTCCTATGCCAAATGATAAACGATGTGCTTTGCCAAAAATGCATAGTTCACACAATTTCTTTCTTTATGTCCTTAATATGACGTTGATCTTTTAGTGTCCTCAACTTGGATAATATAACTGTAACAAAGAATTGTCAGCTATGGCAGCATACTCTTCTATAATTTTGTTAGACATAATTGGTTCAATAGCTGCCTCATATAAAGTACCATGTTACACTTTGAGTTCCAAACAGCACTACTTGACTTTTAACCAGTATTCTGTAGCTGTTGTGATAAATTTACTATTCTTATCAATGAGCAGCAAATAAAGAAAATAAATTTCTGTTTATCATAGGTTCCTTTGTAATTCCACTGTCAATCCGAAATGATGTTGGATCAGTCTCAGCTGTACAGGTTTCTTCATGAATTACGCTGTCTGTATTTTCTTGAGTGCTTTTTATTGGCTTATTTTTGGGTGGTCTTCCATCAACTATCCACTGTTTGAACTCTTTTACCCAGTGTTCTTTCTGCTTGCAGTAACTGCAAATTCCTATGGCGGACATTAGTTGTCACAGCCGTTGGACACTACTAATGTTGGAAGCGGTGGTTTTGTTATTATGGAGGTACCTAATAGGTGGGTCACCATTGCCTCCTACGAAGAGACAGACAATTTATAATCATGCCTTCTCTGGGATTCAAACGTAGGCCCTTCGGTATGGAAGTCAGGATCACTAACATTGTTTCTTGCCTGGGGCTACTGCAAGAAGCATCTTTTCTTGATTTTCTTCTGAATTTATCTTTTTTATATTGCTTTTGTTTTTCAGATTTTGTCACTTGTTCACTTGATTAATAATGCCAATTGCTCTATTCTATTACCTTTCTCTTGACTTTTAAAGTCTGTTTCATGAGTGCAAAGCTGTTCTGTTAACTCATCATGTTACTCATGTTCACTTGTCTTCACCTAAGAGTAAGAATTTGATTTAAATGAATGGTATTGTTTGGGCAAGACATAAAATATCTTGTAGTTGAGTAGCATGACAGGTAACTTATTTGCGTTTTTCAAGTCTTAAATTCAACTCTTTCCAGAATTTTTTTTTTTTTTTTAATTTGGAAGAATGAGCTGCCATAT